TGTACACTTATTTGAAACTGAAGTTGTCCCCACGCACTGCAGCGAGATGGTGTCTATTATCGGCCACCAGGTATGTCATTGCCAGTCACTGGGAAGATTTAGTTGGAGGCTATGCTCTGAGCATGGCACAGCAAAGTGTGCGCAGTCACCCTTTTGGAAAAACATGGCCTGTTCATGAAGAGTAGCAAGAGGACAAAACAAAATGAACTTTTATTATTATTATTATTATTATTTGCAATATGGTATGATTTTATTAAGCATGCAAAGGAGGAATCGCACAATTTGAACCTGCATCCAGCATTCAGAAATCTTTGATTGACATAATGAAATACAGGTGACAATCCTATCTCTGCTTATACGGCTCTCTAAATACACCAATATATAAGCCCCAAACATTGTTCTCTATTTTTTGTTTGTTGGTAAGAAATGTTTAAATGTGCTCCTAACAGTACTCTTCACCCCATGCCCACTGATCCTGACCACTCTTTTGTTTATTATATCTTTTCATATTGCTATTCATATTATTATTTAGTGTGTTCTTAAGATTTGTAAGCTACATTGTACAATTTTTCTGAATCTTTGTATTTCTTAAAACTGATAAAACTGCAAGGAAGGAAGGAAGGAAGGAAGGAAGGAAGGAAGGAAGGAAGGAAGGAAGGAAGATGTGGACATGGAGCCTGGAAATTAAGGCCAGGTGGTCTCAACGCATTTTAGAAGTGTTTCTACTAGTTTATTTAAGTAATTAAAACACTTAACTCCTCACTGCCTCTGAACTTGAGCCCAAGAGGCTGGACGGTTGACTGCCTATTTATTCATGCAAAATATTTACTCCAACCTACCCTAGACAATCAAAGCAAGTAAGAATATTTATGTATTCATTTCATTAAAATTATCCACTGTCTGGTTGGTGATGGTGGGAACCCAACACCTGAAAGTCGTTTACAATGAGAAGAAAACAATAAAGTTATCAGTAAAAACAGTAAAGGCAACTCTTTAAAACATTCAGAATCTAAAACCAGCAATCGGCTAAAGATGGATTAAACATCTGGTTGGGCTTGTCCAAACAGACGTGTTTTTAGTAGGCGCTGAAAAGAGTACAGTGAAGGAGCCTGTGTCATATCAAGAGGCAGGGAGTTCCACAGTGCAGCTGCTGCCATGCTAAAATATGGATTTCTTACAGCTATTGTGTATTGCAAACTAAAACTCCACCCGCACAGATTTTGTGGCATCGAGGAGGCTGTTTCCGCCTGGACAAGGATGGAGGGCGGGTGGCCAGATGGACGGGCAAACAGCTGTCCTCAGAAAGGTTGCAGAGCAACTTCTAAAACTTGACTTTGGGGAGAAAGCAGCCCCCCAGGTCAGAAGGAAACCTCCCTCGGGGGCAAAGTGGTCCATTGCATTGTGGAGGTTGTCAGAGAACACAGAGCAAAGAGAAGACAGCCAGTCAAAATGATGTAATACAGAAATAGGGACACACAAACATATGTCTGATGATGATGATGATGATGGCTGCTTTAGTTGGGATTCCTGCATGGCAGGGGGTTGGACTAGATGACCCTTGGGATCTCTTCCAATTTTATGATTCTATGCTCTATGTTAGAATAAATGAAAACAGCAGCTCTGCTTTTGCTGTTGAGAACAATCTGAGCACCCTTTGAAAGACTGAACCCTGAGTGCTTCCAGGTGGGATTTTTTGTGTGCATCCCAGCAGCTCATGTATGAAAGCTTAATATGGTGTCATCGTCACTGAAATGCCAGTCTGTACTTTTTGCTACATTTAATCCAGGTTTTCCCATGCTGTGGAAAAAACTGTAAAAACGACCCATTGTACAGCCTCCGTCACTGCTGGTGTAGAAGCTCATTAGCAGAAGAAGACCCAAGTTTTTGTATGGTCAGTTTGTCACATGTGGGGTGACATTTCTGGGGTGTTCCCTCTCATGCCCCCACTTCCTTTTGCTCCTCACCTGAGCGCATTCACAGAGTCCCAAGCCATATTGTTCCCAGCAGCCCAAAGGATGCAAGCTCCCCACTGAACCCACATTTCAGAAGCCAACTCACTTTGCAAGATCTACACCCAGGATTATCTTGGAGAGTGTCATTGCACTTCCTCTATCGGTCTTTAAAAATAAAGAAATTAACAAGGCATTCTGTGCGTGACGGCTTAATCAAATTCTCATAATTTTGCTGCAGATTGAGATACCTAATATCACTTTGAAGAACATAAGGAAAGCGTGCTGGATCAGGCCAAAGGGGGCCCATCCAGTAGCCAGTCTTATTGCCGCCACAACCAGCTGCACACGTCATTCACTCAAATTGCCTAAGAAGGGCTACTGAGTTCATGGCAATGGGGAAATGGGGGGCTTCTTGGCCTCAGTCCCTCTCACCAAGGAATCTCCCACACTTCTGCCTCTCCTACAAAGAACAGGTCCAAGTGGTTTTCTGTTTCCCCTGCTGCTTTCCCCCTAGGAAAACCTGCTCTTTAGTGCTGAATTGGAGTGAACATCAATCCACGGAAAACCTGATTGTGAGAAAGAGCAGGTTTCCCCAGGGGGAAAACAGCAGGACATAAAGAGGTCTGAATGAGCCCTAAGTCCTAACAGCCCTAAGTCCTGATTTGGGTGGAAGCCCTGCACTCAGAACATACTGAGAGGGTGGCCCGGCTGTGCAGGAACTGCACTCTGCACACACTCAGAGAAGTCTTCTTCCAGTGTTTGGGAACTGAGCTTGGGGCTCATGAAGGGGGTCTGGGCCGTTGCCCTCACTCTCTCCCACAGAACCCAAGTGCTCAGCAACGCAGGACTAAAATAATGTCAGTCATATAGCAAATCAGTTGGATTTTGTAAGCTGTTTTGATATTTAAAAAGCTTATATGGCAGATATATATATATATATATATATATATATATATATTCACAACACTTCAAACTCCTGTGGTGTCCTTCCTCCAAGTTACTACAAAGTCTGTCTGTCCTCTGCTATTCCAAGTTCCAGCCACCTGCCTAGCAATGGAGGATGCGTTTTCCTTCGCCAGTGCAGCCAAAGGAGTTTCTTCCCCACCCGAAAAGCCCCCAGAGCAGAACCTTCAAATGACACCAGTTCACTTTGTAATTTAACTCCTATGTCCTTTTTTACTGGTGTTTTAAAATTGCAAATTCATTAAGAAAAATCGGGGGGGGGCGCAAGGAGAAAACCAAGCTCACATTAACAATACATTTTTGCATCAGCACATCCATCTCAGTTTACACAAACAGATCAGTACATGCCTTCCAAATGAGTGAATATGTATCCAAGCCGATGTTTATAGAAAGTGCGTTTAAATGGTCTTCATTCCACCGCAGAATAGACTGAGCATTTATCCTTCCAGGCTCAAAGTGTAAGTCTCATAGTGACCCACCGGGTGCATAAAATCCATTCTGCTTCTCTGCATCCTGAGCACATTAACTCAAAGCACAGATACCAACCATTTCAAAAGACTTTTCTTATCTCACCCTTCCTGGCAGATCAGCCTTTGGCGCGCCTGGCTCACCTTTGAGCAAATTTTCGGAGTGAGTGTGCTTGCAAACTGTGGTGCAGCTTTCAAAGCAACAGGTTTTGCAGAATAGCATTAAATTAAATAAAAAGGTGACGTCAAGACAGGAAAGGACACATATTAAGGTATTCTGACAACATGAAATGTTAAGGCACATATACTGGACTGCCAGCTTATGAGCACAGAATTGTAGGCTTGGAAGGGACCCAAAGGGTCATCTCTAGTCCAGCCCCCTGCAAGATAAGCTGGCCAAACGTTCTTCTTTTTCTCTTCTTTGCCAGCCCTGAGCAGGCAGCATCCTGACCCAGACAGGGAGTGCAGATGGTCCATCCGTCATTGTATGGAAGGAGATGCCACCGGGCATTGCACTGACCCGAAGGATCGTGGTGCCGTTTTCAACAAGAGCCTCTACGGCCACATAAATTCTGCCTCCTAAAAGTTGTCAGGTTTTCCTCCAAGTTACAGACATGATTACATCCTATTTGGGCAGTGGTACAATTCCTCAAGTCAAAACAGCCTGCTCATCAGCCTTCAGCAAACCCAATCACATCTAGAGAAATAAATGTCATATATAACCAGTGATGTTGAAGTAAATTTTGAAGCAACAGAACTCATCCCGAGAGCCCCCTCCCACAAGGGGGGGTCCGAAAATGCAGGCAGCGTGGCAGCACATAACGTAATAGCCAATTGAGTACCGTAGGTTCAGCACGACTGCTGTCCTCCCATATTTTCCTCACACAGGTTCAACCTGTAAAACACGCTGAGCTTTAGCCAAAGATCACTGGCTGCCTGGCAGAAACGCAGCATTTAGTAGCTGTTAATTAGAAATGTAAACCATCTTGCAAAGGTTGCCGTTTAAACTGCTAGCATGAAGCAGGAATCCTACCAAATAAAAGGAAAGAAGTACCCAGCCACTGCTAGATGATTTTCCTCATTCACATGGTCATTTGTGCCAAACAACAGTAAAACTTGGAAGCCTCATTCTCACCTCATGTTGGGTCCACCAACAAGACCACCATTTGGAATTTTGAATTGTGTTGTGGGCAGCCCTCCTGCTCCTGTTGCTTCTCTCCAACCCCACATTCCACTTTCTCATATTGCTCCCCTTTCTCCGCCCGACTCTCTCAGTCTCTCTGCTTTCTGTCCAGCTGCTCAAGCGTCAATCCGAAAGCACAGAGAGCCGAGAGAGGAAGTGGGAAGAAGCGTCCCTTTTCCAACTTCCTTCTTAAGTCTATCTATCTTTCAAGCGGGGCAGGAGTAAGCACGTTTGCCACTTTGTGAAAAGTCTGGCACAGATTTGCATCAGCCCCCATTTCTGGCGCAAGGATTTTTTTCTCTCGTTGACTCTGATGGGAGGGGGTGGAATTAAAAAGTGGACCGCTTCAATCTGCAGCTTCGGCACTTTTCCAGGTGCCACAGAATACCCTCACCACATCTGGAAGAACTTGGTATTTTAGTGTGGCAGCACAGACACGTTGGAACTCCCTGCCTATTGATACTGACTGCTGATTCAGGACTTTAAATTGTGCTTTTATATCAAATTTCCTTTTCTGCGTATACTGTAATGTGTTACTGTTGCTATGGCCATTGGCTAATGCGAATAAAGTTTTATCTCTCTCTCTCTCCTGCCTATTGATAGCAATCAGGCACCTTCCCTGTGCTCTTTCCAGCATCTGCCAAAAACATTCTTATTTAGACAATTCTACGCAGACGTTTGGAAAGAAAGTATGAGCTTTAATTTGTTTTAGTCTATTCCATTGCTTTCTGTATGTTTTAACTTCCTGCATGCTTCAAATTACGGTTGTAAAATTGTTAGTGATGGTTTTAATTTTTTTATCTTTTTGCTAAACTGCTTGAAGGTTTTTCTACAATCAAGAGGTACAGTGGTACCTCGGGTTACATACACTTCAGGTTACATACGCTTCAGGTTACAGACTCTGCTAACCCAGAAATAGTGCCTCGGGTTAAGAACTTTGCTTCAGGATGAGAACAGAAATTGTACTCCGGCGGCGCAGCAGCAGTGGGAGGCCCCATTAGCTAAAGTGGTGCTTCAGGTTAAGAACAGTTTCAGCTTAAGAACGGACCTCCGGAACGAATTAAGTACTTAACCCAAGGTACTACTGTATATAAATTTTATGAAATAAATGCATAAATGAAAATAGCTGCCATTGCATCTCCAAGCGCCCTGCCCTCGTCTCCATGAGAACATATAAGACATGGTGTAACGCAGCACTTTCTCACCAGAACACGCCACTGCCACAGAAGACCACAACTAGGGCCACATGGGGAGGAAAGGCACTTTGCACAAACAGCTTGACTGTCCAGAAGCCCCAGAGGTGCATTGCTAACAAAAAGAGCTCCCTTGCTTTGGGAATCCAGCAGTACTCAACCAAATCTGGGCAGGAAGCCCACAGTCAGCGCATAGCTAGCATGGCCAGGAGCCACTGATGGCCTTCATCAACTAGAACAGGGGCTCCCAAACTGTGGTCCGTGGACCCCTGGGGGTCTGCAGGGCCCCTGCGTGTCTGCGGATTTGTGGCTGAGGCTCGGAGACAACTCGCCCATCACCAGCACCCTGTTGGTTTGGAACTGTATCTTGTTACGGCTTCTTTTGCTCATTATATTGTATTCAGTGGAATTCAAACTGCAATGCAAAATATAATAAACAGAAGAAGCAATGCAAATTACAAACCCCAGAGCATCTAGCCCAGCATATTGCAATTGTTAAAGGGGCAGAAAAATCATTGAGGGGCCCATCCAGACTCACAGAGATCTTTAAGTAGCCGGGGGGAGGAAGGGGGGAGTTTGGGAATCACTGACATAGCAGGTTGTTGGGTCACAAATGGTTGTGTGTGCAGTAGGCCAGACTTCTTAGAATTAAAATATGGATTCCGATTATTGATGTTTTAAAAAAGAGAAAAGAAATCCCACAGCTCCATCACAAAGAGGCAGTTTGCACAGTTCCTAGAAATAATGGAAATAGTGTACGGTCTTTGTGCAAGATTTTTTTTTTAAAGACACTTTCTCTTGCATTTCTTCTTCATGGGCCTGCAAGTCTGAAGAATATTGTTCCCGTTTTGCAGGAAAGGAACCAAGGCTGGAAGCGAGTCAGTGAGCCCAGGGCTCAGAGGGGGCTCAAGACCCCTCCCTGTGCATATTCCACATGCTCCGGGCAAGATTCCACTGTCAAACAAAACCGCAGCAGCCGCAGCAGCAGGAGTAAGGGGCTCCAGCAGGGTGTCCGCGTATATTACAAGAGGCCAGGCATTCGCCCTCTGGGACACGACAAGGGAACTGTTTGAAAGAGGAGACAAGGAGGGGCTGCCAGTACAAAGCACATGCGCCACCAGCCACGTGCGCAGGACCCACGTCCAAAGAGAATCCCAGAGATGCTGCACTGCAGGCACAGCCCTCGCTCACCCAGCTCCAGCTGGAAGGTATGCAGAGGAGCAGGGCCAGGGAATTGGGTGAAGGGGCCCTCGGGTCCCTTCCAACTCCACAAGTCTATGCTTCGATGACACGTGTGCACACACAAGTGGAAAGCCAGTGCAGCCAGAAAGTGAAGTATGGGTCCAATGGGGTCCGTGCGGCAACCACATTGGGCAGAGGCCAAGCGTCTTCTTCCTAACTCACTAAGGGGTGAGGCAGGCAGCACTGACACTTTGGAACTCACTGCACTGTTTTCGTTACCGGCTTAAAACATTTTTGTTAGGCAAGCCTACCCAGATGTCGAGGCAGGTTTTAATCTGCTTTTAGCTTATTGCTGATATTATCTTTTGAGCTGCTTTTACTCAGAATGTTATTGCTTTGTTCTCTATGTAAACCACTCTGAGGGTTTTTTTAAACAATCAAGCGGTGCATAAGTGTAAATAAATAAATATCCTGCTGCACCCGACATTTCTACAATACTGGGAATCCCCACCACTGCCATCCTGATGGGAACAGCTGTCCGAGGGAGGCAAAATGTTGCAAGCAGGTGGTTTTACCTGGAGCCCTTTGCTTCCTAAAACCAGCAGCATTTTAACTCCTGGCCTCTGAGCCTTCATTGTCTGAGGAGAGCCAAGTTCTGCAAGGGAGCCTCGGGACAGGACTGGTCCTCTAATATGTGAGAGAAGGAATGTAGAAAATGGGATCCCCAAATATTATCGCAAAGAAAGAAAGTGTTTTAAACAAAAAATACTAATAGAAAGGTCAACCATATTGTAGATTATCATTATTTAAGCCACAGGGCGGTTTTTAAAATACTGATGAAATCCCAAGCAATTTTTGAGATGCTTGCCTGCTTCCTAGACCTGGAGAGAAGGGGGGGGGCACAGGCCCCATTCTTGCAGAAAGCCTCTTCTCCCCCAGGAGGCTGAGTGGGATGCCTGGCACTCACCTGGGTCTCTGAGAGGCTGAGGCTGCTGGCCAGCTGCTTGCGTTCTGCCCCCACCACATAGTGGTTCTTCTCAAAGGCCCGCTCCAGTCGCAGGAGCTGTGAGGGCGAGAAGGCCGTGCGGATCCTCTTGGGCTTCCTGGCAAAGGGGCCGTGTAAGAGCAGGCTCTCCTGGGACACTTCGCCGCCTGAGGAGAGAAGGCTGGGTATTAGGGTCCACTCCACAGTGTCAAAAGCCATCTCCCACCTCCTGCCTGCACCAGGCAAGAGCTCAGCTGTGCAAGGAGCCAAGCCACCAACAGATGCAAAGAACAAACGAGGAAGGCCAAGTGGATGAGAGGTCGCCGGATGGGCCAGGACACCGGATCCCAGACACTTCCACTCCTGCCCCAAGTATAAGCATTGGCATGTGTAGTCCTCTGGCAGAAGAAATTGGAGAGAACACTGCTTGGCGGGACCAGGCCTGCGTGAACTGCCTTTGTGGCCTCATCAACTCCAATTTCCTCCTTGTTTTATTTCCAGAAAGGAAGCTGCTCTAACTCAATTGCAGCGGCAATTGCTCTGTGAGTGGGGCTTGAATGAGGCAGGCTGTGGTCTTAGAGTTGCACCCGCATAGCCTCTGCAGGGAGTTCTGCAACAGAAACCTTTTAGGAAAGACAAAACGGCTTGGGTCATCCTCGCTTTGAGGGTCAATGGGGGTGGACACACAGACCTGCCTTTGGCCTACTTTTTGGACAAAGCAATTAGCTCACCAGAACCTGAGAAGGTGCTCTCCCCTAAATCAGCATTCAGAGATGGGTTTCTTTGCAACTGGAGTGGAAAGCTATCGCAAAGCCCAGATCCGGTTAATTCATTTCAAATGTTTGTTGATTGCCCTTGGTCAACAGATTCCAGAGCAAGGTACAAAAGTGTAAATAAAATTAATTCATGTAACAAAAATAATTCATGCTACTAATGATCAAATAAGCAGAAGAAAATACAAGAAAGCAAAATATAAGAGAAAACAAAAAAGGCAGGATGGGACCCAGATCCAAAAATCACCTGTAGTCTAAAACTCCCAGGTCTTCAGCCAGTGGGGAAACCAGGAGCCCAAATGCACAGCCCAGCAACTGGGAGGGCTACTGGGGGCCCATTTGTGTGCAGGCATGAAATATAACCTTTCCACACGCACCCTCCAAAAATGCACACATGCAAAAGTAAGGCAGTGTCCCAGTTACAAATTACTTTTTAAAGCGGTTGACGGAAAAGCTGGAAAATACCCTCCCGTACCTAAGGTAAAAGAGAGGACAAAAGAGAGAGCAAATATCCACAGGGTTGATTCTGCTCTGCTTGAAAGGAACAACCTGGATCTAAAGACTATTATTTGTTGGTTCAGGTTTAGGATAGCGGTTCATGCCCCCCCCCCCCACTCCTGCAAGCTGCATGTGGAAGAATGAGGCGCCTACTTTGTCTTCTTGCTTAGAGATGCAGATAATTTTTGCCCGGCTGATCTAGAGACTGAGTGGCCTGGGAGAGAGGTGGCATTTTCCTACCGCTGTTGTATACATTTTTTTAAAATTTAGATTTCAATTTTTATTAATTTCAGTTGTGTTAATCCCTATGAAATACACACATTTAGTTGTTTTTACTTTCATTATTTGTAAAATGATCATTATTATTTATCCAGCATAAATTAATGGGGTCTGAACATATTCAGCTTTGGCCCTTTTGTTTTAAACTGCTTTTTATTATTGTGTTTTGATGTTGCAGCCTGCCCTGGGACCTTGGGGTGAAGCGTGTGTTATTAATAAATATTAACGATAATAACAAGCCACGAACAGGCAGCTACCGTGTTTCTATGTGACCCAGGGGCCTTTCTGCGTCTCCGTTCAAAATAAAATCTCATGCCATTAATCTCCAGAAATAAAAGGGAGAGAGCAGGCCCCTGCTTTCCTTTGGGGGCTCCCTCTGCCCAGAGTGGCTCCCCATTCCCTGAAATTGTCCGGGTGCCGCGTAAATTCCATTAAGCACAGAAAATCTGTGGCTGCTCAGGATGGGCTCTTCAGAACGCTGCTGACCATTTTTACACTTCATAAACCTCTTTGCTTTCTTTAGAAAATGGGTTGATCAGTTTTATTAATAAAGGGGGGATTAAATACTAAATGAATAATAGAGAAATGACCTGATGCACTCCAGAGCAATAAATTCCAAATACACAAATTATGCTCTAGCACCATATACTAGAATTCCAGCCGAACTTCCCATCAGGAATTTGAGTGAATTCATCGGGGAGAAAATGCTTTGCTTTAGGAAACTAAAAGGAGGGTTCTGCCGATTTCGCCCACAGAACCCTCAAATGTCCTCACAGCAGACAAACAAATATAGAAGCGTTCCTTTCTGAAGGACACTTTGCCGACACTGAGATCCACACTCCTTTTGTGCAAACAGGGACCACCATCCCAAGTGGTTAATTTAAAGGGGAGAAAAAACATGTTTTGAGAAAGGATGGTTGCTGTGTGTCTGGGAATACACTGGGCTGGGCTGGGAGGGGGAAGGACTCAAGTTTTTCTTCTGAAAGTGCATTTGTTTTGGGAGCAACTTAAAATAGGCTTGGTGCTAGAACATCTTGGCTGAATAAGCAGTTCAAGTGCTGCTCAATTAGAGCTTGTCCACTGGGAAGCTTTCCTCTCCAGGCCCCGGGGATGGCGGGAGAAGATAAAGACCCCTCTCCTCTTTGCGGTGGTCCCTGTTCAGCTTGGTGGGGCTGGCAGAGGGGGAATTCACCCCAGAGTCTGCCAAGTATTGTTTTAATGGGTGTCCTGCCCCCCAATATACCCTAGAGATTAAGAGATCATCTCATCAACAGAGCATAGTGTAATGATGACAATCTATCGTAATTTTATGTTGTGAACCACTCTGAGATCTACGGATGAAAGGAGGTATACGGATTTAACTCATAAATAAAAATAAATAAACCAGGTTACCATAATTCTTGCTATTCCCCCCCTCCCCAAGCTTAAACCTGATGAGCGGCATACTAGCTAAAGCACTTCATTTTCAGATTTCCAAGTCTGGATTTTCTACCTCCAAAAAGACCCTTCTATGGATTCATTTATTCTTATTCACTTACTAAATTCAAAACCTCTCACTCTAAGTCTCTGAATAGCACGCAGTGAAAAAGAAAATAAAAACAGGAAGAAAACACCATTACTTCAATTATAAAACCCAACATTTCACATGGCACGAACTCAGGCTTGATTTATTCAGTTTAATAGTATTAATAATTGGTAATAGTAATAATAATTAATAATAATAATAATAATAATAATAGCAGCGATAATTAAATTTCTATACCACCCTTCATTCAAAGATCCATTGGGCAATTTGCAACATAAAAAATGCATCTTAAAATCTCCCTGAAATAAAAGAGTCTCTTCTGGCTTTCCTAAATACCAAGCAAAGTCTTGTAGACATGGAACCCACAACCCTGATGTGATGCCACAGAAAAAGTTGGAGATCTTACAGGCACCTGCTGCACTTCCGACAGCGAAGGTGGTGGTGCTGGTCAGTCCAAGACATCCCCCCCCCCAAAGACCTGAGGACACTAGGACACTTTTAGGAAACTGTGGCAGGATGGTGAAGTCAGCCTGGCAATGCCCACTGCTTTGCCAGCCACTGATGCCTTGTCTCTTTCAGGGAAGACCCACTTTCATTGCCGGAGCAAACAAGAGTGTAGATTGCACCAGCCCTGGGAGGAGAGACTCCAGGCCTATTTCAGGAGGAAAGTTTTGTGCTGATCAATGAAGTGAAAGACAAACCACCAGCTCCATCATCATTTCACATCCACTGCCTTGCACATCGATCCCATGCCAAAGCTAAGCCGTATCATTTGCCAGAGAGGACAGTTAAAGCGTCCACTTAAACTCCCAAGTTAATAAAAGCAAGGAGACTTAAAAACGGGCTTAATTTCTGCAGGATAGTTAGTTAAGAGGGATGATGATAGTTTACAACACAACAACAGTGCAGGACAGAAGGGGGGGCGGTGTCTCTGCCCAGAAAGCATAAAAAAAACACAACTATGGTGATGAAGGCCAATATGTCGGAGGCAGACACGCACACAGGTCTTTCTGGAATTTTAAAGAGAAAAACCCCAGTGCCATACTCGATAGCAGGAAAAAAAAGCCAACAGCATAACGATCAATTTAATCACTGGCGACTGGCTGCTCGCGAAGGAAAACCCAACATTTGCTGCAAGGGCAACTTGGATGAAGGCACAGAGCAAGGCGGGCAGTTGTGGGGGGGGTAGGGGCTGCCCAGTGAGGGGGGGTGACCTCCTCCCAGGGTCAGAGTCCCTTTGCCAGCATGTGCTGAAACAACTGGGGTCCTCCGACAGGGCACTGCAACGTGGGGTCTCGATTTTGGGACCAGGAGTGGGGGGGGGGGTAGAGGAGGAAGAACACACCTGCCAGGCTGAGAGGAATGGAGGGGGGAAGCCAACGCCCCCTGCCTCCCCCCACGTTTTAAGATTCCCAGAAGGCTTTCTCGAGGGGGGAAAAAACCACTGGTAAGACCTTCCTAGGTTTTATAGGGCTCAACAGGTGCTGAGGAAACCCAGGAAGAAAGGGGGGGGCAGAGACACCCAGCGCGAAGCTGTCCCTGCAGATGAATGTGGATGCGTGGTTTAATCCGCTTTTAGTTTACTGCTGATTTTATCTTTTAAAGAGTTGTTTCTACTGATAATTGTTGTATTCTCTTTGTAAACCGCTTCGAGGGTTTTCTCCCTGTCAAGCAGCGTGTAAATTTTATGAAACAAACAAACTGAAATATTGGTCCAGCGCCGCGGGGCTGCTTCGCCAAGCCAGCCCTTTCTCCTTCTGGCCGATGATGGAAGCACTTTCGGTGCCCTCCGTTCCCCGGGTCTACCCGGTCCGAATAGGAGCCGGGCGGAGCCATCAGACCTGGGCATCCAGGAGCCGCTACGGCTTCCAGGGAGCTCAGAGCCCCGTCCATGTCTGCTGGAGGCCTGGCCGGCCAGTGGCTCCGGGCTTCCAAGGGACGGGAGGCCCCGCGCGGATCCCCATCAGCCAAATTCGCCCCGGACCAGAAGCGTGTCTGGCCGGCGGCAACTTCGCGAACCGAGCAATGCTTTTGCGGGGCTGGCGAGAGAACGCAACCTGCAGCGGCGGCGTTCTTTCCAGTCGCGATCCTGAAGCATTTGCGCCCTCCGAGACACAGGAGCGCGTCCAGGGAAAACCGTTGGCCCCGCTGCAGCCTCGTTCCCTGGCTGGCGTGCGAGGGGGCGCCGCGGGGGCTTAATCCCCTCCTGGGCGCGGAACAAAGAGCCTTTGATGGGCCGCTCTCCTTTCACGCGCCGGCCGGGGATGGGAGCGAGACGCGGGCTGGATTTGCATTTCCAACGTGGTAATGAGAGTCGGCCCGAGGAAGGACCCGTCGGGGGGCGGGCACGGGCTGCTCTCCCGTCCCGGGCGGGCCAGAGCCAAAGCCTCACGCTCTCCGTCGAAGGAAGGGCCGTGGGCAGGGAGGGGCGACTCACGGCACCAAAGAGCCGTCCAGGCGAGGCCAAGAGAAGGCGGACGCGCCGTCGAGGCAGAAGCTGCGCAGCGCCTGGTCGCTGCTCCCGCCTTGGAGGGGCGAGCACCCTTTCGAAGCCCACCTCCTCTTTTGCTGAGCCCTGCCCTTCTGCGTCGGAGCTTGTCTGTGTCCCGCGAAACCTGCCCAGATTTGGGGCCAGATCGGCCCCCCTCCCATTCCGGTCCCAGAGAGGCCTGCGCTACCATCTTCTCCTTTCCGCGCAAGATTCGGGTCGGGCGCCCCTTTCCGCGAGACTCCGCAATCAAGCGTCGTTGGTTTCATTATTAGAAACAAGGATTTGCAGAATCGTTTTTTCCTGCGAGGACAGGATGACTCCGGAGTCACGACGCGGAGGTCCCACGTTTTCCTGCCTCGATATTTAAAGGATACAAAATAAAACTACGGCTCCCGCCTCTTTGCGGGGAACCTGAGGTGGAACCGCGGCTTTCGTGAAAGGGCATTTCCCTGGCAGAAAAGCCCCGCGCTGCTCGCCTTTAGGCGGATCCTTCGTTTCCGATATTTCTTTCTCTTTCCACCTCCTCCCTCCCCCACAAAAAAATTAAAAACGGGGGACACAATCCCGTCACAATTCTGCACTTTCGAATCTCGTCTATTTCTTTAGGAGATTTCAGCGCCTGTTTAAAACGAGATAAGCTTAAAAGGACTTAATTTATCGCCCCGCGACTCAAAAATCAGCGCCCCTTGATTTCAGGATCGCCGATTGTCGGCCGAAATACAAAATATCTAGCAATTAAGTTGCGCCGACGGCGGGGATTTCGGTGCCGAACATTTCGCCTTCGTCAAATTTCGAACTGGCGACGGCGGGGCTCCAGGTTTCATCTGGGACCGCCAAGAAAATTCCCAACTGGTTTGTGGGTTTCAGAAAAAGTTCCGGGGCAAACGGATTGTTTTCCCTTTGTTATTCTTTCCACCTTAACCAGGTATAATTTCCCCCTCGCACACCCAGCCACCCGCTCCATCCACGAGAGTCTCTCGCCCATAGAAAGGGGCTCCTGTCGCCGCGAATAGGTTCCTCCAGCCCTGGGAGCGGGAAATCCAGGCCCGGTCGTGGCCGGGGGGGGTGGGTCCCCCAGACAGTCCGCAAGATTAAAGGGTCTGGTTCCCCTCACTTACCTGGAAGAAGGGTCCCCCACCCCAGGGGAGAATAGAAGAAAATATAATCGTATTATAGCGAAACAAAAAAAGAGAATTCTGCCATTCTCAGGGTGGGTCAAGAAATTATTTCTGCGCCTTTATAATTTATTAACAACCATAGAATCATAGAGTTGGAAGAGACCACAAGGGCCATCGAGTCCAACCCCCTGCCAAGCAGGAAACACAGATCCAGAACTCCCTGGAGAAAGGAGGGGAAAGCGCGATTTTCAGATCAATTTATTTCCGAGAGAAAGTACGTGGAATAGGATCCCCACCCCAACCTCGCGCAACTCATGCGCACCCCGTTCCCGAAGGCCAAGACACCTTTCGCCGTTTCCTTGCATTTAATTGTGTTCGACGGAATATTTGGAGGACTTAGAGCTACCCGATCCAGGCAAAGCGTGCAGTCGTGGGGGGCAGGAGCGACAGCTCCCACTCTCCCCCCCCCGCTCTGTTCGTGTTGCCTCTGCCCCCCTAGAAAGAAGCGGGGAGACGCGGAGCAGATTCCAGCCGCGCCCGAGGCAGAGAACGGGGCTCCGCCGCGGAGGAAGCGCCGCCGACCCCGCGCCCCGTCGGCAAATGTCTAAAAGGGGGGCTGGCTGAAAGGCCGGGGGTCTTTCCATTCAATTTACTTTCGTTTATAAGAGGAAAAATCCTTCTTAAAACCAAGACGCGAAAGACCCTGAGCTTCGAACCTCCTCTGGAAGTTCCACGCCGCCTTGCCGGACAGAGGCGGAAGGTTCAGGGCCACGTCCGACGGAGGACCCTTCCGGGCTGGACTGGCAGCCGAGAGGCCCATCGAGGGAAGCCCGAGGCGGCTGCGGAAGAACGGCGAGCCCACGGGAAGAAAGCTACGGGTCTGGAGACTTTCTGGGTAAACGGGCCGCCGGCAGCAGCAGCAGCGTCCGCGGGAACGCCGGCCTTGCCTGGAAGCGCTCCGGCTGGCCTCTCGACCACAAGGGCCCTGGCTGGTCTCAGCCTCCTTGGCTGCTGCTGTGCCCCACAGCGAGGCCCTTCTGCTCTCCCCCCCCCCACCGCGGGTCAGTCTTGCCTTCCTATTAAGCAAAGGCCATCCTTGTCCGGAGAGCTGGACTTGAGGACACTGCTCACCCTGGAAACCGGCCCGCGACTTGGGGAGGGGGCTTAGCCGTGGAAGAATCCTCGCCAGCGCGGCCGAAGACCTATGGGAGCAGGAGCGCCTGCTTAGCTGACCGATCCGGAGTTAAACCCATTGGCCAGTTTGGCTCAGGGACGTCTACACGGGCTTTCAGCAGCGGCTCCCCAGCGTTTCACACTTGGGTTTGGGACTCTCCCAGCCATACCTGGAGACGCCATTGGGTCACAGTCGGTCGGCGGGGGTCGGAGGGCTCCTGCCCAGCGCCCAACACGCCCGAACCAGCCGCCCCCAGACCTAGGCCTCTCTTTCGGCGCCCCCCCCCTTCTTCCTCCTCCGCCTCCCTCCCAGTCCCACCGGCCCTTACCTTGGAAGCGATGCCCGAAGAAGCGGTTGCGCAGCACCCACGGGTAGAAGTTGAGCGGGTCGCGGGGCTGGGCGCCGAAGAAGGGGTGCGGCGAGGGCGGGAGGTGCGAGGCGGCCAGCTGGGGCGGGTGGACGGCCAGGGCGGGCGGGTGGCTCACGGCCTCGGGGAAGAGCAGCTCCGGGCTGCTGTAGAGAGAGCGCCCGGCGGCGGCTGCCGAGCCCTGGAAGCCGTGCGCGAAGGCCTCGACGGCGGCGCTGGCCGGGTAGCCGAGGGAGGCGGCGGCGGCCGGCCGGAGGGGCTCTTCCCCCAGCGGGTGGCTGTCCTTGCCCACCAGGGACTCGATGGTGAAGCAGCGCTTGGCCGCCGTCGCCCCCGGCTGGAACATGGCGCCCGACGGGGCGAGCGCGAGTGTGCACGGGGCGCCCCGGGCGCGGGTGCAGGAGGGCGCCACGACGGTCGCGCCGGGCGGACGGGCGGATCCAGCGGCGGCGGCGGCGGCGGCGGCAGCAGCAGCCGGCGGGGGAGCCTCCCGACGGCCCGGCTGCCAGCGAGAGCCAGGCGGGCTGGGCCAGGCGGGGCGGCTCCGGGGAGAAGGAGGAGGCGGCAGCGGCAGCGGCGGCGGCACGGACACTCGCGCCTGTCCCCACGACGCGCGCTCACCCCCGCCGCTCCCTCCGCCCGCCCCATCCACCCGGTGCGCAGTGGGCGCGCTCCTGGGCGAGCCGTCCAGATAAGCCGAGTACCTGCCGGGCCGCCCCCTCTGATTGGCCAGCCTCACCTGCCCCGGGGTTGGGGAGGGCACGTGGGAAGGGGAGGGGAGGAGGGAGCGGGGTCGCCGCCAAAAGGCGGAATGGAGCGCCGGGGAGGCTGCGCCGCCGCCGCTCTGGACCCGCCCTCAGCTCCCCCTCCCCGCTGCCTCAGCCCCCTCGGAAGAAGAAGGGGGGGGGACAGAAAGAAAGCCTCTGGAGCGCTTTCGCCGTCTTCCCGCCTCCGTCCGATCGGCACCTGGAAGGAACCTTTCTCGACGTGGAACTGGCGGCAGGTAGGCGGTGCCCCCTCGCCAGAGGAAGGGAGGGGGGAGCCGAAAATGGGGCTTGGAAACGCGGGCCTGCGCTTCCTCCCGACGACGCTGGCACCCGCGGATTCTCCCTTCCTTAAGCCCGTTGGGCAGGAAGCAGGTGGGCTTGGGGCTTGATTTTTGGCTGGGGGTGGCATGGGCCTAAGTCTGGTGTGGCGCCCCTTCCTTGCTCAGGCTGCTCAGTCCCCTTTCGGGGCTCCCTGGTGCCCCTCTCTCCCGCTGCGAGGCTCGGGGAAAGTTCCCCGGGATCTGCCGGGGAGCCCCGGAAGCTTCCCCGGAGGGCGCGGCGGATTGTTTCCTCTCCATGCTGGAAGGGGCGCCGGGAGAGCCGGGAGGGTCCCTACGCAGACTTACGCGGACAGTCGTGGCTTTTTTTAGGGTTCTCGGCGAACCAACCTGCTGCCTGCCTTTCCGATGCCGAGAACGGCCCTTTCTTTCCCTCAAAGGGCCTCAGCGGCCCGCGGAAGACACGCGTTCCTTCCGCGGCCCTCCTACAGGGCGGCTCTGCCGTTCTTCCTTTCCCGGCCCCCGACGCCTCTCCTTTGGTCCTGGAGCAGACGCGCCCCGAGCTGGATGGAATCCCCGATGGAATCCCGTTCTCTGCGTGGGGACCCTTCCTGAGTGCGCGCCCCCCACCATTTTGCTCGGAATCCCGAGGCTGCCGCGAGATTGGTGAGGCCGGCCCGCCCCCTCGGGGTCCCCCTCGGGCTGAGCTGTCCCTTTAGGGACCCGCAGGTGCTTTTCTGGAAGGGGGGTACCGGGAAGAGAGAGACCGGCAGCTCCGGGCTCTTGCGCTTTTGGACAGCCTTGACATTCGTGGGGCAGCTTCGTCCCTCGAGCCCGAATTCTGGGTTCTGAAGGGGAGAGAAAGAAGGAGCCTTTGCGAAGGGATGCCTCGGAGGTGGGGACTATTAGACAGAATTGAGATGCGCCCGACGCCCGCGGAAGCAGTGCCGAGGCGGAGAGCGGAGCCGGGAGAGCCGCGCCCGGCCAGCCGTGGAGGACGCGGCCGAAGCCGTTAGCCCAAAGCTGGTCTCGGGAGACCGAGGCAAGATCCGCGCCGGGCGGGAAGGCGAGGGCCCAGCGGGAACAAAGGCGGAGGGGGCCGGGAAGGGACACTTTGCGCGTGTGAGTGGGTCTCTCTTTCACCCCGAGGAATATGTTTTTGCGGGGTCCCAGGCTGGCACTTCTCCACAGCCGAAACGCTCTTTCCGCGACGGGGATCTCTTTCCCGGCTCCGGGCCTTCCTGGCGCCGTCCGGTGCTCCTCGACTCGCCCCTGGAGAGAAAGGAAACCGAATCGGCGGCATTTACGGTGAATAGGAAGGGACACTATATCTGCCCCTCCCCAGCAGCCACACACAGAGAAGGATAGTAAAGAGCTTGGCTATATTTGGGGGGTGGGGGAGTTAGGGGCAGCGGGAGCGAAGCGGCCGGGAGGGTCTGGCTTGCGAAACGTCGCGAGGTGCTTGGCGAAGGGCACTTTGGGGGTGTTAGATGGCAAGAACCGATTCAGACATCGAAGGGGGAGAGGGAGAGGCAGGGAAGCGCCCCACGGGGAACCCGGCCTCTCTTTGTGTCGGGTCTCGGCCGCTTCCTGAGCTGTTCCTGAAGGGATCCAGGCCTCCGGCTCCTCTCTTGGGATTGCGGAAGCGGGACCCCCCCCCCGCGCGCCCATGAACAAGGTGATCTAAAGGAGCTGTTTCTCCAAGCGGGACTTCTCCCCTCCGTCCGGATCCTGCCCATTCGCGTTTCTGTCCTTCCCAGTCTCTTCGAGGTGGCGGGCAGGGCGCTGGCCGGGCAGGCTTTGCCCGCAGCCGGTTTCCTCGGCGTTTCGCGGCGCGGCTGAAGCAGCCCCGGGAAAAAGGAGGCGGAAATCTCTTCCTCGGTTTCGCTTCTCCGGTTTTCTCTGGCAGAAGGAGAGGAGCTGCGTCTTCCTGCCGACAGAGGAGAGGAAGAGCAGTTTGAAGCCCTCCGCCCCGGACTCTCTGCTGGTTGGCACCCGAAGGGCGGCGGCGTTGGAGTGGAAATCTCCAGCCGGGATCCGGGACATCCGAAGAGGGAGGCCAGAAGTCTAAACCCGGTGAGTCCGAGGAAAGACGTTCCCAGGGCGGCTCCTTCTGGAAGGGGAACCCCCGCAAAGGAGTTCACGGGTCTGGGGGCTGGAAGCGACGCCCAACTGGAGGGAGCCGCTGGGTCTGACAGGCACCGCCTGCCCGACGAATTTGCGGTCCGCGGTTGCTCCGATGCAAACGGTCCTTTTAATATTCAAAGGAGAGTTGAATTTATCCGGAGAGAGAAGGAGAAATCAGGAATCCGCGGGGAAGCACAGATGACAGGAGAAATAATAATAATAATAATAATAATAATAATAATAATAATAATAATAATTTTATTTAAACCAAGGACAAATGAATGGAAGCTGGGGGCGAAAGAGGCGAGTGTCCAGCAGGAGCGACCCTTCCAGACGGGGACTGGTGTCCTTTACGCACACGGCGTCCTTATGTCAGCCTCCCCAGGACGTTGTTGTGGTCAGAATACCAGCCTTATTCCCCCCCACCCCACCCCGCGCCATTATTTAATCCGGATTTATTCTTTTCGAGAAAAATACGGCAACACATTTTTAAAAAAAAATCCTGTTGCCATCGACGCATTTGGGGTGCAGTGTCTGAATTATCTGTTTGCAAAATCAAGACCTTTTCCTTTTCCTATTCCATCCCGAAGAAAAGGCGACCGGGCTGGTGGGAGAGGTTTTTGGGGAGGGATGGGGGGGGGGTCTCCGGGCCCCGCTCCGCCTGGCTTCTGGTTCCACGCTCCAGGCAGACGCTCGGCCTTCTTCTGCGGCGCCTGGCGGGGGGGACCCCCTATGCCCTGGGACGGAGTCCTGGACTTCTCTGCAGCTTTTGCCATGATCCGGCACCAGCTGCTGCTTCGGGGGCCAAGATCCACCTTGGGAATTTGGGGCGCTGAACCCGCGGAAGAGGATCCCTTTTTCGCCCGGAGATGTGTTCTGCGGACAAGGGGATCCCGAATACTTCAAACCATTATTTATTTAGTATTAGAGGCGTGCTCTTCATCTCCTGCTACACCACTCGGGAAATACCTATATTATAATGCCTAAATTCAACAGGTCTTGTGAATTCAATGGGGCTTAAAGATTGCGATGCCCGTCACTCTTGCCTGACACGTACCGCTCTCAGTGTGCTGACGACACCCGGCTTTTGAGGAGGCTTCCCTCTTTTACTGGCCCCCATTACGCTGATGATCTGGGACGGTGCTTTTTGCGAAAAAAATATTGACGGGAGCGATGCTTTTCATTAATTTTAAAACCATGCTTTTCCCTCTTATAGTTGATGTCTAATGTGCAAACCAGTTTAAGTGATCTTTTTAGTGTCCAAGGAAAACCAACGTTCTTTTTTTGCTTGTCTGGATAAAGAAGAGCAAAATGCAATTGCGGGTGGCGTGGAAATGCCGCGCGCGCGGCTGGTCTCAGGTCCCCCTCCCCGCCCAGGAGGCGGCCAGCTTGGCCCCACCGAGCTGACCCACGCGCGACTCAGTGAGTTCTTCCTGGGGAGGGGCTGCCTTTTCCTTTAAAAACTGCCAAACTGTCAGTCACTCGAAGCAAACGGTTTTGCTGCTGCAGAGATTATCTTGGATATTTTTGTACCCGAGCTGTGGCGGGAGTCTCGGCGGGGGTTCCTGGATCATGATCTGAGGGAACCCGCAGGAGGCTTAATTGGGAAGAGGATGGAATATTATTATTATATAATAATCATATTATTATAATAATAATAATAACAGCAGCAACCGTTATTAAAAAAACGTACCGCCGTGGTAAATGCGCAATTGCAAAATAATGTGATAATGATTTTAAAAGTAGCAGCATTAGCGACAATAATAGTTATGAAAAATAAGGTGCCGCAGTGGCAGAATGTTTTGAAAAATTTTTAGCTGGCTCCAAGACTAGCCCCGGATTCTCCCAAACAAGTTCAAAGCGGATCTGGAAGAGGGGCTGTTCAGCGAAGAGGAATCCAGCGCGAACGGTGCAAGAACGTCCCTGAACTGCGCGACAAGGAGCCGCACAGACCCAGCCGCTGCCGGGTGAAAAGGAAAATAAGCAACCGCAGCCGTAGAAACAATTTTCACCCGAACATTATTATTTTTTAAGTGTGGAAATGAAATGAGGGACTGGCGCGTGGCTGCGTTTCTCCTCGCAACAATCTGTGAAGTAGGCTAGACTGAGAGAAACAGACAGACACTCGGGCCTGCTCTGGGGGTCTCTCTCTGTCCCCCACGCTTGCAGCAGGCACCCCTCGGAGCCCTCCGCCTCTGCCGGCTTCTCCGCTCTGGGAAAGACCACCGAGCAGTCTCGGCTCCGGAGGCCAGTTTACTCTGGGGAGCAGCGTCTCCCTGAGGAGCCCCGACTCCGCGCGCGGGGGGGGGGGAGAGGCAGCGCGTTGCACTGGGCGCCTCGCCCTTCGCCCCAGGCTTTCCCGGCGGGAATTGCAAAGAGGGAGGATTGCCTCCACCCCCACCCCAAAGATGCGCCCAAGCCTCGGAGTATCCGGAAGCGAAGGCAGGTCCGGCTCCTAGGAACGCTTTACCTGGGCGTAAGTGTTATTGAACTCAGTAGGACTTCTTTGTAAGTAGCGTTGCAGAAGTTTGCGCTTCAGAGCTTATTTTTTCTGCGCCCCTGAACCCCCCCACCCCCGCGTTTGTTCTTTCAGGAGACACGTGTTGCCGCGTGTGCCTTGCGTGTGTTGCTGTCGTTGCGACTGGCTCTGGCCGGGGCCTGGACTTCAGACAAAAGGATTTTCAGGATGTCTCCAAGTTTGGGATTTTAATGACGCTTGCAGCTGCCTTCCTCACCTCTTTTGGGGGCGCAAAGGAAAACAGGAGGGTGGCCATAAGAAGCGGGAGAGATAAAAACGCAAAACGGGGAGCGATATCTCAGCCCCGGGGTCGAGAGCTGTTCCTGGGCCCTGCCATGCACCCACTGGTTTTGGCCGCATCCCCGGGCAGGGGAACCCCGACGGACTGGCGCCTCCCAGACAGGAAAGGATCCCAGGAGGCCGGTTCCAGCACGGAGGTGAGCACCGCATCGGAGCGGAGAAGCGGGGCGCAGCCCCCGCCGGAAGCCCCAGCCGGAGAAAAGCCTCCTCCTCGGTCCTCCTACTTTCAGGCGCTCTGAGAGCCTGAAGAGCTCCGTCGCTTCGGAAGAAAAGCAGAGGCCGTCGGGGATCTCTCCGCAGCAGGACGGCGCTTTCCAGGCAGCACAGCCGCCCGTCCTTCCTGCTGCTCAGCGCGCCTTCTCTCTTGCTCGCCGCAGCCGCAGAAAGCTCCCCCCACCCCACTGAAGTCCCATTGAAATCTCAGCCTTGGAGTTGCCAGAGCCCCGCGCCGAAGGGGAAGCGCCGCCTCTTGGAAAGGCGGAGTATAAGCCGAGGAAGGAAGGCAGAGCTGCTCGTTTGGTGTCCTGCCCTCACCTGGGCCAGTCAGGTGCGCCACTGGGAAGCCCCCTCTCAGCCCCTGACCGCGCTCCTTACGCCTCTGGCGGTTCCCTTCTAATAGCGGCGGAGTGGCTCGGATGACGCTTTCTCTTCCTGCCTTACATGGGGTCGGACTAGATGACCCTTGGGAACTCTACAGTGCTGTGATTCCGAAGTGAGAGCTGGACCATAAGGAAGGCTGATCGCGGAAGAATGGATGCTTTTGAATTCTGGTGCTGGAGGAGACTCTTGAGAGTCCCATGGACTGCAAGATCAAACCGATCCATTCTGAAGGAAATCAGCCCCGAGTATTCACTGGAAGGACAGATCGTGAAGCTGAGGCTCCAAGACTTTGGCCACCTCATGAGAAGTGATGTATGGAAGTGAGAGCAGGACCATCAAGAAGGCTGATCGCCAAAGAATTGATGCTTTTGAATTCTGGTGCTGGAGGAGACTCTTGAGAGTCCCATGGACTGCAAGAAGATCCAACCTATCCATTCTGAAGGAAATCAGCCCTGAGTGCTCACTGGAAGGACAGATCCTGAAGCTGAGGCTCCAAGACTTTGGCCACCTCATGAGAAGAGAAGACTCCCTGGAAAAGACCCTGATGTTGGGAAAGATGGAGGGCACAAGGAGAAGGGGACGCAGAGGACGAGATGGTGTGACAGTGCTCTCGAAGCTACCAGCATGAGTTTGACCAAACTGCGGGAGGCAGTGGAAGACAGGAGTGCCTGGCGTGCTCTGGTCCAGGGGGTCACGAAGAGGCGGCCACGACTAAACGACTCAACAACACCATGACCCGGGAACCCAACGCAAATGCAGCGCACCTAGAGAGCCGACGGGGCGTCCGAGGCTCCAAGTTGGAGACCTCTCCCTTGAAGGTCTTCCTCTTTTCCAGCAGCCGGCGGAGCTGGAGAAGGAGATCCGGAAGTCAAAGCATCCCAGGCGAGCTTCTGGTTCCTGTGGGTCGTGTCGGGGTGGAGCCGTCCCTGGTGCTGGCTGGCGGCGAAGGGTTTGGGGCTTCCAAGCCAGGCCGAACCTGACCCGAGGTCTCCGTGGCCACTGGCTCCGGGGGAGGCGCGGCTCCCTTCCGAGCGAGACCTCGATTCCTAGCCTTTCGGAGTCCACGTGGAGCCACTCCAGGCGAATAACCAAGTCAAGGCACCATGGAAGCTCTTAGGCGACTCCCATGGAAAAGTATCTGGGTCCAAGTGATGGGCGAGACCCGTCTCTACCTGAGACTCCGGAGAAGCGCTGCCAGTCGGAGTAGACCAACCTGGACCAGATGGGCAGCTGGTCTCACCTCAGCCCGAGGCAGCCCCCCAAGTCCCCATGCGGCAGCAGGAAAACAACCGCACACACGGGCTGGGGAAGAGGGTGCCATAGCTCAAGGTTAGGGCGTCTGCATTGGCTCCGGGTTCAATCCGTGCCTGAAACCCCGGAGAGCAGCTGCCAGTTAGTGTAGACAGTACTGGGCTGTATGGACCGATGGTCTAATTTGGGATAAGGCATCTTCCTGGAAAGTAAACAACATCTCTCGCGGAGTCCAGGGTCCTGCCAAGGAGGAACGAGACGGGTCTGTGCACGTGGACATTTGCAGGGATCAATCCAAGGCAGCTTTTACTAAAAATTAAAGCCCCCAGCCCACTCACCCAATTCTGACTGCCCTGGGACCTGTAAAGCAACGACCAAGGAGAGAGTGTTTCTGAGCGTATGCCAAGGTCGCAATTAGGGGCGGGGCTTCTGTTCAGAGGGTGTGGCCTGTATGTGCCGAGGGCCGCCCCCTCCCACCACCCCGTTTGGTTCTACTCAGGCTGCAAGTGCCATGGTGCGGGGAGGGGCTTCTTCCTCTGCGGGGAGCCCCGCCTGGCCCCCTTCCTGCTGCCCCCGAGGGGAGCGCGTCCCCTCCAGCATCTCCTGGGAATGGCCCCAGGGGCCCGGGGGAAAAGCGTGATTCATCTATTGATGCTCTTGCCTTGCCGTAAGAAAGGCAAACCCGGCGTGTTTCCATTGGAGCCTGCTAGGTGCTTACAGCGCTGACATTCACAATGAGAGAAATAGGCAGGGAAGCATCTTCACAGCAGTTTTATTGTGTTAATAAGTTTGGCGTCTATAAGCAACATATGTAAATGGCTGATATACTGTCTTGATGCCATTTAACATTATGTTGCTGAGGTGCGCAGGAGCCAAGTTTGCAGCATTTTTGATGAATGTGGAGGGAGCTGCCAATTCCGGGAAACTTTTTCCATCCCTTCGCACGAGCAAGTTAACAGTCTGCCTTGCCAAAATGGTGACTGACCCCCCCTCCCCCCCCGTATTTATCTCTTTCTCATCTATTTCTCTTATCTCACGTCTTGTGCCACCTTAAGGGGTCTCATCCCCTATCCACTTTGGGGGCACCGCCTCTCAAGCCAGCATGGATCTCTTTCCTTTCGCAGGTCTCCTTCACTGGTTGTATCAAACAAATGAGACGTTTCGTAGAAAATAGGCCTTTGGAGATAGATGGTGAGCTTTCCCAGGGAAATCGGGGCAATGGCCAGCTGTGGCTTTTCTTTTTCTGATTCTGAGGCTGGGGGGATTCATTCTGAGTTGGCTTTTTTCCTGGTTGCCTGGTCAGAAAGGGAGAACCAAAGAATTGTTGAGTTTGAAGGGACCTCAAAAGTCATCTAGTCCAATTTAGCAAGCTTTTGAGTAGTACAGAACTCTGTTGCTAATTTCCCACAAGGAGCTCAGGGTGGCATACGAGGTTCTCTCCCTCCCTCCCTATTGTATCCTCACAACAACCCTATGGGGTAGGTTAGACTGAGAGACCGTGACTGGCCCAACTCTAACCACTAGGCCTGAAAGGCAGGCTGGGAAAGGGTGCTGGATAAAATAGCCTTATTTATACAGGCTGGAGCTGGTGGGAGGTGCAGTTCGTTTGGAGGGCACCAGGTTGGTGAAGCCTGATTTTAGGACTGGGGGTGAGCACACCAACTTCACCTCTTTTTTCCAGGAAGGGAGAAATCCTGCACGCTCCAAATTGCGTGGAATTTAAAAACAACAACAAGCCCGCCCCAAAATGAAAACCTTGAATTATATAAGTTATTGATCCTGCTGGTTATTCACAGTGGTGGCAAGATTCAGGGTCTGCCCAACTGTCAAGGAACTGCCAGTGTGGTGTAGTGGTTAAGAGCGGTGGACTCGTAATCTGGTGAACCGAGTTTGATTCCCTGCTCCTCCACATGCAGCGGCTGGGTGACCTTGGGCTAGTCACACTTCTCTGAAGTCTCTCAGCCCCACTCACCTCACAGAGTGTTTGGTGTGGGGGAGGAAGGGAAAGGAGAATGTGAGCCATTTTGAGACTCCTTCGGGTAGTGATAAAGTGGGATATCAAATCCAAACTCTTCTTCTTCTTCTTTTTCTTCAATCAATCCCTGGGCAGGTGCATTCTGAGAGATGTCCCAGCCTGGAAGTTTACTCCAGCATTCTCCGAAATATTGGCTTGCGCACAGCAACATACAGTATGTGGCATCAGGGCACTCTGGGCCAGCCTTGGCAAGTGTCTGGTCCACACGAGGGAGCTGTCTATATGGACAGTTATCTTCAGCTGCTCCTGAAGACAACTATCCAAAGGGTTGAAAGCTGGCAGAATTCAAAACAACTCTTTGGACCAATGCAAAATATTATTTTGCCCTCTCTCTCCCAACAGTGGAAAATTCAGGGCAATCCTCCTTCTGCTCCCGTGTCTAATGCAATCACTAGATCTCTCCTCACCTGCTGGAGTTTCAGGTGGATGTGGCAGGTTGAAACAGGAGGTGCCTGCTGAATCTCTATGGGCAGAGCATTGCACAGGACTGAGGTGGTGGCACTAAAGGCACAGTTTCATGTTGCTGTCAGGTGATCCTCGCCAGCAATGCTCCTGCAGATGACCTCAGTAGCCGAGCTGGGATAGAAGGGTTTAGGTGACCTCTAAGGTACTCTGGATGGACGCGGGTGGCTCTTTGGGTTGAACCACAGAGCCTAGGGCTTGCCGATCAGAAGGTCGGCAGTTCGAATCCTCGCGACAGGGTGAGCTCCCGTTGCTCAGTCCCTGCTCCTGCCAACCTAGCAGTTCAAAAGCACGTCAAAGTGCAAGTAGATAAATAGGTACCACTCCGGCGGGAAGGTAAATGGCGTTTCCGTGCACTGCTCTGGTTCGCCAGAAGCGGCTTAGTCATGTTGGCCACATGACCCGGAAGCTGTATGCCAGCTCCCTCGGCCAATAAAGCGAGATGAGCGCTGCAACCCCAGAGACGGCCACGACTGGGCCTAATGGTCAGGGGTCCCTTTACCTTTACCTTTAAGGTACTCTGGAGCAGAGGGCAATGTAAATGAATACAAGGAACTTGAATGTGGCTCATTAGTAGCTGGGCAGATGTTTTAACTGTGGGAGGATCTGCAACCAAATCACAGATTGCATGATGGCTAGATAGTCACAAATAGGGGACTATGATGCAATATCCTCTAAACTTTTGTTGTGGGAAGGGGAACAATAGAAACTTAATCTCTACTTCTTCCTGTCACTACACACTCTTTTCCCTACCTGTGTGTGTGTGTGTGGGGGGGTGTTCCTTTGCTCTCTTCCAGAGAGTAATCTCCATTTTAAACTGGACTATGGATACATTTGTATTGTTTAAGGATTATAGCCTGCCTGATTTTTCATCACTGTATCTGTTGAATCCTGGCAAGATTGTGATGTGAGTAAACACTGGATTTTCTTATTTACTTAACAGTCTGAGAGTGATTTCTTTGTTAAGAGGGAAACATAAATGGGAGAAGATAATCCAAGTCTGCCTAAAGCATCTTTGGGTATCATAATTGCTCTAGAAGGTTATGCAACCTTGCCCTCATATAGCTTCTAGAGATAAGCTGCTCATGGATGGTCATTTTTAACTCTGCTGAAATAGATATTTGCATTCTCACACAAGTGAGAAAGAGGAAGAATAATTGCTAAATAAAACATTGCCAGTTATGTACCCCTATAAACATTCTGGCCACCTCATTCTGCACCAGTTGCACCTTCCAAACCAGGTTCAAGGACTGCCCCACATACAGCGCATTGCAGTAATCCAGCCCTGAAGTTTCCCGCTGATGGACCACAGTGATCAGGCAGGTCTTCATATCCATGCCTTCAGTATTTGCAAATCTTAAGGTAACCAGTTGATGCAATAAAAGCTGCTTCTGTTCTGCATCTGCATCCTGCAGGACCGAATGAGTTGTAATCTCCCTGTCCTGAGACTGGGAGTGCCCGAGGCAGGATGCACAGGCCATGAGCAAAGAATGGAGACTTTGGAGCGGCCCAGCCATTGAGCAGCGGAAGAGATCTGTGCAGCAATCAAGTCCCTCCCTGCCCCGACGCAGGTGTGTGTGCCTGTGCGCATAAGCGTCCCTGCCTGTGCATGTGGCTGCCAGGGGAATGTCAAGAACCTCCAGCGCCATCCCTCGCTGGCTCCCTGCATGCATCCTCATCTCAGAGTGGAAAATACAAGAAAATATGTCACTGTTAATTCTCTCTCTTCTTTCTCTCCCTCTCTCACGCACAAGTTAATTTATGTTGAATTTACAATTCCTAGCAGTCATATGGATGGCAGCCTCCCAGCCCCTGATTAGGGTAAACAGATTTTTGCTCCATATATTTAGACACTCCATATTGCTTTCAGGAAATGTGCACATTTGAAAGGCAGAGACTCACCGAGGGCCATATCCTGCCATCATACTTCATAGGTAGGAAGTGCAGTCGTAGGAGATGTGGGACTAGGGCCTCCCTCTGGTCCAGGGGGCCACAAATGCAGCCAGCCGCCCTGGCTAATGGCACCCAAGCAAAGGCAGTGGTGGGGAGGGGGCACTGAGGAAACTTGCCAAATGGACTTTACCTTCTTTATCAATGCTGTTTCTGAAGACCCTGTCTTATCTTGTAGCAAAAAGCCCTTTCCAGAGGAATTCCAAAATTCTGCAGCCATGAATTCAAACTTCTGCTGCTGCAGTATTAGTAATAAGAAGGGTGAAATATACCACAGTTTTACAGACTAGTAGAAGACAAAGGTCCCTGCTTCCAGACTGCAGTGGATGAGATGGCAGAAGCACTAGAAGTGCCCCTGAACAAGAATTGTCCTTGTTATAATTTATATCCCACCCTTTCTCTCAAAGGAGCCTGGGGCTGCAAACAACAGGAGGTAAAAGAATAAAAGCATCTTTAAAACAACAGAAACAAAATTAAAGTCGAAATTTTGAGGCTGGTCAGTGGAGAATGCAGGCATCATCAACAGAGATGGATAAAAGGTTGTGGGGTGAGAGGAAATAGGAGCAGCCGAGTCCTGGACATAGCAACAAACCTGAGTGCCTTTGCTCCTCTGGGCGCATCAGACAGTGAAATGTGTAGACTTTGGGGTGTTTTGCAGCTGGCCAGGGCAGTCAGCTGCCCCATGGATTACCTCTCTTTTGCCAAAGTCACACATGTTTGGAAGCTGCAACGCACCATGCTTTCTGAACTTGGGTCACTGTGGCATGAGAGATGTGCCGTTTTCATGCATGGGGGATGTACACATTGTCTCCTTATGATGGAGATGGATTGAGGATTAACTCTGTAAATGTAAATTTAAACCTCCTGTTGCACTCCCCTGAGAGTAAACAGGCTGTGAATCTCTTTTAGCAAAATAAAAACACTTATGTGCTTTTACAGCTTGCTAGAAGCTAGGAATTAGGAAATTGCACCTTTTTATCCCAGTTTATTTGTGGTCTGCTGACCTTCTTTATCCTCATGGCTAAGAATGAACCACATGTTTTAGGAATTTAAAAAACAGTTTACTTACATTTCAATGCAGGCAGCAGATACATCAAAGTAGTATGCAGGTAAAAACACTTCTTATACAAAATTAGCTTCTGAAATGGAGTCTGGGCTCTGAGCAGAGCCCAGGCGTGTATGTCTGCTCACACCACTGGCTTGAAAGGAGAGTGAGAGATAGAGAGAGCTCAGACAGGAAGTCCCTTTTGTTAGAAATTCCCACCAAAGCATTAAGAAAGTGACCTCATGCAGTTCCTTCTATATTGATTCAGGAACTCTGTGTGTGCCAGTCCCTCATGTGTCTGTCTGGCAATCATGCATTTGTGATTTTGACTGGAAACCCCACACCCCCATTTCCATATGTAGAGGGGGCTCATTTTATTGTTTCTCTGGATTGGGATTTCCCGCCTCCCCATTCTGAGCTGAGCTGGTGCCGAGTTGGACCCGGGAGGGCCTTGGTTCAGTGGCAGAGCAGCTGCCTTGCAGGCTGAAGGTCCTGGGTTCGATCCCCACCAGCATCTTCTGGTACGGCTGGGAGAGACTCCCTGGCCTGGAGCCCTGGAGCCCCCTGGACCAGTGGGTTGGGTTTACAGTAAGGTGGCTTCCTAGGATGTTCCTAGGATGGAGAGGGCTGAGGGCACTGCGAAAGGGCTGTGGTCCTCTTAAGCAGAACGGAAAGGAACATTTCACTCCAGGCAAGAGGACAGGCTACCTTGTCTGTCTGTCTGTCTGTCTGTCACACACACTCCCAGGTCTGAGTGAGCCTCGTGCTCTAGACTCAGGGAGACAATTAGCATTTAAATGGGATTATTTTGTAAAACATGGAGTGGTGGAGAGCAGCAAGCACATCCCGGAGCCCCTTCCCAGCAGCGGAGGAAGTTTGGCTGGCCTTCCCTTGAAGAGCCCCCGCCCCACATCCCCAAATAAGAGTCCTTGGGGTTGAGAGCGGGGAGACCCCCCCCTCTCTGTATCCCACAGAAATCCCGAGCTAAGCCAATCACCATCTCGGATTTAAATCCTCTCTCTTTTTTTAAAAAGAAAATTTCACCTGCCCATCTCGCCTCCCCCATCTTCTTCTCCTTTTTCTATCCAAACTCATAATTAATCGCTCAAGGCAAAAGTAATGAATGTTAATTGGCCATCTGTACAAAGACTAATTAAAATCTACCATGCTGGGGATTAAAACATACCTATAGCAAGTGACTGAATTGAGAATGAGACGGGGGGAGGAGGAGGAGGAGGAGGACTGAGAAAAAACAGCTGAAAGGCTCGTCGGCAACACACAGTCGCGCTGAGGTGTGAGATGAGCTGCAACTCCGGGAGCGGAGCGAGACGCCTCGGCGGCTGGGATTGTTGAAAGGGGGGAGAAAGAAAGAAAGAGAGAGAGAGAGAGAGAGAGAGAGAGAGAAGTTATTTCAGCCGAAATCCTTGCAAGAACAGTCTGGCTCAGTTGCAGAGGTTTCCACAGCAGAGGCTTCAGAATGGCTTGGCTTAGAGAAAAGGCGAGTGAGAGGAGGAGGAGGCAGTGGTAGACTTTTGTGAGATTATGCGTGGCCTTGGAAAAGTGGAAAGAGAAAAGTTTCTCCATCTCTCTCTCTCTCTCTCTCTCTCTCTCTCTCTCCCCATCTCTCTCTCTCTCTCCATCTCTCTCTCTCTCTCTCTCTCTCTCTCCCCATCTCTCTCTCTCTCTCCATCTCTCTCTCTCTCTCTCTCAACACTAGGCTAGAACTCACTGACATCCGGGGACGCTGAAGGCTGGAAGATGCAGGACGCATCCAAGGAAGTCCTTCTTCAAGCAGCGCAGAGTTAAACTGCGGAACTCCCTTCCGCAGGAATCTTTGTTGTTGTTGAGTCGTTTAGTCGTGTCCGCCTCTTCGTGACCCCCTGGACCAGATCACGCCAGGCACTCCTGTCTTCCTCTGCCTCCCGCAGTTTGGTCAAACTCACGCTGGTAGCTTGGAGAACACTGTCCCACCATTTCATCCTCGGTCGTCCCCTTCTCCTTGTGCCCTCCATCTTTCCCAACATCAGGGTCTTTTCCAGGGAGTCTTCTCTTCTCATGAGGTGGCCAAATTCTTGGAGCCTCAGCTTCAGGATCTGTCCTTCCAGTGTGCACTCAGGGCTGATTTCCTTCCGAATGAAGAGGTTGGATCTTCTTGCAGTCCATGGGACTCTCAAGAGTCTCCTCCAGACCAGAATTCAAAAGCATCCATTCTTCGGCGATCAGCCTTCTTGATGGTCCAGCTCTCACTTCCATACATCACTACTGGGAAAACCAGAGCTTTAACAATACGGACCTTTGTTGGCAAGGTGATGTCTCTGCTTTTTAAGAATCTAGAAGGCTTTAATAGAGAATTAGGCAAATTCGTGAAAGTGAGGGCTGTCTATTAGCCACCATGGCTCTGCCCTGCACCCCACAGTCAGAGGCAGCAGCGCTTCTGACCCACCGCTGGCGGAAAGGGCTTCTTCCCACAAGCATCTGGCTGGGCACTCCTTGTGAGAAGAGGATGCTGGACTAGATGGGCCGTGGGCCCGATCCAGCAGGCTCTTCTTATGTTTTTGATAAACGAAAAGGGTGTGTGTGTTGATTTGTTTCTGCATTGCTTTTGCAGCGGCGCCCTGACAGAGGAGCTGTCCAGCACGTCCCGGTCCGCCCCTCTCAGTCCGCAGCCGGGGATCTCCAGCGGCTCAGTAGCTTGGAAAGAAGGTGAAGTGAGTGGCTGGGGGGAATCCCCCCACCCGAGACCCTCCAGGGGGAAATGCCGCCCCCCTCGGGGCTTCACCATCGCATTGGCTGCACCACCAAAACCCAGCGCAACCCAAACCCTGATCCCTTCTTTATTTGTTGTTAACAGTTATATCCCGCCTTTTGTCTAAGGGGTCAGCAAACTTTTTCAGCAGGGGGCCGGTCCACTGTCCCTCAGACCTTGTGGGGGGCCGGATTATATATATATATATATTGGGGGGGGAATGAACGAATTCCTATGCTTCACAAATAACCCGGAGATGCATTTTAAATAAAAGCACACATTCTACTCATGTGAAAACACCAGGCAGCCCCCACAAATAACCCAGAGATCCATCGTTCTGCCTAGACACTGAGGTCCAGCTCCGAGGGCCTTCTGGCGGTTCCCTCGCTGCAAGAAGCCAAGTTATAGGGAACCAGGCAGAGGGCCTTCTCGGTGGTGGCACCCGCTCTGTGGAACGCCCTCCCACCAGATGTCAAAGAGAAAAATAACTACCAAACTTTTAGAAGACATCTGAAGGCAGCCCTGTTTAGGGAAGCTTTTAATGTTTAATAGGTTATTGTATTTTAGTGTTTTGTTGGAAGCTGCCCAGAGCTGCTGGGAAAACCCAGCCAGACTGGCGAGGTATAAATAATAAATAATAATAAATAATAAATAATAAAAGGACACATTCTACTCATGTAAAAACACGCTGATTCGCAGACCGTCTGCGGGCCGGATTTAGAAGGCGATTTTGCCGGATCCGGCCCCCGGGCCTTAGTTTGGCTACCCATGGCTAAGGAGCCCAATGCGGAGTACATGCTTCTCTCCCTCCTCATTTTTATCCTCACAAGAACCCTGTGAGGTAGGTCAGGCTGAGAGCTGCCGCGACAGGCCCCCGAGGACACTCAGTGAGTTTCCTGGCCCTGTGGAGACTTGAACCCTGGTCTCTCGCAGCTCCGAGTCAGGCACTCTGACCCCCACACTGCCCAGCATCTCTTCCTTCGGGAGTTTCCTCCCAGGCGCTTCTCTCCAGACTTTTCTGGTCCCGGGGATGCCCGCCGCTGCTGCAGCTGCTGCAGCTGCTGTTGAGATTATGCTTTCGGTTAACCCCCCGGCTTGCATTAATACATATATAAAAATACTTTAAACACAAAATAAAAAGCATTTAAAACAGGCGATTCAACAGTAGGGAGAATTAGCAGCGAAAAGTTTTTGAGATTATCCACCGAAGATTAAGCCCATGGCTTGTTGAGTTGCCCCGTTTACCAGGAAATGAGGCTGCGATCCTCGAAATAAGTCCAAACGTAGACAGCGGGTCTCCCTCCCGCGTAAAGAAGCCCGGGATCGCGCCGCTTCTTGTTCACGCAGCTCATGGGGTGTATCCAGAAAACAACAGCTTGAATTTCTGACGACCCACAGATGCATCACTGGGCGCCAAAGTCTCCCCCTATCCCGCCCCACAATGGATCGCGAGCGTTTCAGGGGCCGAGTGCAGGGATTAGTCGGGCCACTTGCAGCAGGGAGAAAAGATCACGAATTCGGGGCTTGAGAGGATTTGGATAGGAAACTCCGCAGGCATTGACGTCCGCAAGGGGGGGGGGGGCAAGAGGGCAGCCCCCCACCCCTAGATACCCAGTGTTCGATTTTAGAAAAACAAAAACAGGAAGTTTGTAGCATTTGCAGAGCCTGAGATACAGTGTTTCGATAAATGTCCAGCCACGATTTCGCCCCCTGCCCTCTTTGTGCATAAACCACCCTGTTTATCTCTTTCTATGTTTTTTATTTCCCTCCCCACCCCGGGAAAAATCCCTGCGAACCCCCAGATATGCAAGCGCTGCTTCTGGATTTTGTTTCGGATGACGCGCAAAGGAACTGCATTTACCACTAGGAATAAAAATGCAGCGAGTGCCGCCTTAACTTCTGCACTTCTCCTCCAAGGAGCTGAATGTAGCTGGCGCGGTTCTCTCCCCCTCCTTTTAATCCCACAGGAACCCTGTGAGGGAGGTTAGGCCGAGAGAAGAAGGGACTTTCCCCCTCCCAGGTCAGCCAGTGAGCTTCATGGCTGAGTGAAGGATTTGAACCCTGCTCTCTCCTAGGTCCTGGTCCGACACCGTAACCACTATGCAACCACTGGCGCCTAAAGAGGTTTTCTACTATGTCTGGACCTATTTTTTAAAAAAAGATTTTTTGAGTTATCAAATGCAGCAAAGCAAAATGGCTTTTTTTTTTTAAGAGGCGGGGGCGCACGCTGCCTGCCAGGTGATCAGTGCGGTCCGCAGGGATAACACCAATCACTTGGAGAGTGAGGCAGGCTTGACCCTGTCCAGGCGCAGCCTCGCTGCCTTCTCCGAGCTCACCTGGCAGGTGACCAGGCAGGGGAAGATGCCCCTTACAGCCAGCAGGTGGCGACAACGTTGCCTCGCGGCTAGTAAGCTTGTCTTCTGCACAGAGAAACAAGCGGCTAGTCCTCAGGACTTAGAAAATCACTTTCGATGAGCTGCGATTCGCAACACGTCGTTTGGGGTCAAGGAAACGTTTCCAGAGATTCCTAGCAAGACGCGGGGAAGCGGACGACTGTAGAAAAAGCAAACCGTCCTCTGGAGCCCAGCGGCAGGCCTTTAAATCAGCCTTGCTCCAAAAAGGGCGAGGGAAAGGGGTGCCTGAGTCACTGCCCCCCACCTCCACCGACGCCGCGCAATTTTTTCTTCCGTGCGCAGGACATTCCTGCCGGTGCGTGCGCCCTTCTTGCGCGCGTCTCCTTACGATCCAGTGGCCTTATCTGCAGCCTGGCC